GTAACTTCAGTGAAAAAAGTTTTAGTTGCATCAAAAGGAAAAATAAGACAAACTGGTCTGAACTAAGTCATAACAAGCAGAAATTGTTGAACAGTGAGAATACACAGGTTATGTGTTTCCATAAAATTTTGTACCAAAAAAACTACAAGTTATGTGGTAACAGAGCACAATCAAGCTAGCAACCGCACCCACTGCCATTTATAATGCATATCATGCACATCATATTACTCTTAAGTCTTATTAAGGTTTTTGTTAGTACTCAATTTTGATAGATTTTGATGATGCCACTATACTAAAGCTCTTGCATGTTTTGTTCCAATTTCGTAGTGATCATATCCAAAGTTGAGCAGTGTACTAAAAGAACAAGAAGTACATAAACGGGATCAGCCCTCAACGGGATTAGCCTAATTAATAGGATTAGCCCATAAACGGATTTATATTGAATAAGCCGATTTGCCCATTAGGAATCAGACCCACGATAGGAACCCACAGCCAGGCTGGGCTGGACAGCAGACCTCGAGCCTGGGCAGAGTTCTAGTGAGGCTGAGATATTCTTAAGGCCTCATGGCAAGCTATCATTCGATGATAGATATTTGGCAACAGGCAGGACTCGACCGGAATTAGGAGATGACTATTGCGTGAGAATGAAGCACGAAAAGGAGTTCTATTTCGAGCAAGAATATAGTTCATTAGTTAAGCATTTATTGTATGAGATTCCTCCCATAATTCTACCTCTTAATCTCTATAAATACTTCATGTAAACACCCTACCAAGGGATCGGTAATTGGTTTTCCGGAATAAGAGTAATACTGCCTTACGCTGCCATATTATTTCGATATTATTTCTATACTCTACGTATATTACTCTCGTAGTTGGATTAAACTCCATCAAACAATTATATTACAATTCATGTTATAAATTATGTCTTGAGACTTAATTAATAGTCGTACATGATTGAAGAAATTGATTTCTATTGAAAATGACAAATAATTGTAACACTCTATTAATGTTATGTACGAAAAAGTATTTCAAAATTTGTAGGCTCTTACAAGTTCATAATATTTACTTCATCTCCGATCTTCCAAGATTGTCCGCAACAAGTTTGAAAGTCTACTAATTATAACTTTTTATTATATATCAATTCTTATGCTCTTTTAATAAATTTACTCATTAGAATTAAATAAAAACTTTTATTAACTAATACTATTAACAAATACTACGTAATATAATATAAATTTTACTTAATTTTATATTGTGCATCGCACAACTGAAAATCTAGTTATGATAAAGAAATACTCCTCCCGTCCCGCAAAGAAGTTTCCACTTTCTTTTTTAGCATGCAGTCCAAAAAAGAAGTTCCTCTTTCTTTAAATGGTAAGTTATCTATATCAAAATAGTGTCAAACAGTACAAAACAGTGTCAAACAGTGTTGAAAGAGTGTCAACAGAACAAACGGCTACCACAAATTTTGCAGGGTGATAACAAGTTATGCTTACGCCAGAGTTGAATCCATCTCTCCTAATGTTCTTTCAACTTCTTGCCATTATTAAAATGAAATTATTAAACTGATTTTGTATTATTAATGGTGATGGAAGACAAAGCGATCTTGGATTTATATTTGGAGAGATTTCCTGGACCAAAACATATCTTCTTTCTGTTGGCCAGCCACCAGATTTTTCCCCATAAGTCCTCAGCCGAGCTGCCAGAAATCCGCCACCTCCGCTGGAGAATTGTGCTGCTGCCGGACAGGGATGGATTTAGGGGGGGGCGCGGGGGGGCGACCGCCCCCCTTGGACATTCAATTTTTTTTACCATATATGTAATATTTTCATAAAACTTTCATAATTTAATTATATTCGCCCCCCTTAGCTTTTAATTTTCAAAATTAGTATATAGTCTTACATAATGTAATACTTAATTGAAGATTTAAAAGAAGAAACATCTAAAATAATTTACATAACTTAAACAAATAAACAATAGAGTAACTCGTTATTTAAGATTTAGGATACTTATTATATAAGAATTCCTAGTTTTGCAATGTTTAATTATCTTTATTAGATAACAAGTACAAGATTTTGTAAAACATATATCAAACAATATTAAATACTAGACACACTAATTACACAATTTTTAGATCACGTGAAATGAATCCAAAATATAAATATTTATAGACATCAGATTACATAATTCATTTACTTCTTGCTTTCTAAAAATAATTTACTGCATGGATAGATGATAAACTTTAAATTATTATAGAATTAATAAAAAAATTAAAATATAATATACACCATATATATGTGTGTGTGTATGTGATGCATATTATTCTAAAAATAACAATCTCATACATACTAGTATACTACTATTGTAATATTAAGAAAACTTCTCATGAGTCATGACTTACGAACACCCTCCTTGGTGGACAAAAATTACAATTCAATAACTGATTCATGAGGTTAAACAATGTAGAAGTTATTAAAAATGTATTGGTTGATGTCTTTGGCATTGTCTAAACTTAGAATGTAATAGATTTAAATGCCGGTTGGGGATGTGCAAGTATTAATGTCATTTTTTGAATAAAAATAGCCGCATAGCCCTACAGTAGCAAAAAAAATTCGCCCCGCTACACTAGGGGAAAAAATTTCACCCCGCTACACTAACAAAAAAAAAATCACCCCCTACACTAACAAAAAATTTCGCCCCCCTTGACTCAAAATCCTGGATCCGTCCCTGCTGCCGGAGTCTGTTGCTGGCAACACAAACTGATCCTGCCACCAACGAACTGACTTAATTATGCACGGGGATTAGAGGCAATTGAATTTTGGGTAGAAATGGAATGATTAGCCCTAAAGCTAAATGGTCTTATTTTGTGGAAGACTATATAGGACTAATTTACATTCTTTATATCCAGTCCGAGTGATTACCATATCTTTTCTTTATACAAGTACTTCGTACAGAGTGTCACATATTTTGGCTCCAAAATTTCGGCCCAATGTGAACATAATATATTTAAGGTTAGCTTTTTAATTTAGTAATGAATCTTAATAGCTCATGTACTAATAGTAATATAAATCCAAGTCGAACACTTGGTATAAATCAATTAAAACAGCTGCATAGAAAAACATCAATGAACTTGTTTTTCTAAATGTTATTCCAAAGATAATAATTTTATATGGAGTATTATTTTTACATATTTGTTTCCCACCTTCATCCTTTAAAGGTAAAAGGGTTATATGTTTCAAATTAGTATAGCATTTACCGGCCCTCCACAACTGCAATATACTTGAAGGTTTTTCTAGCATTCAATTTGCAAAAATGCTTGAGGTACACACTTTGTGTACACACTTTGTGTACACTCGTCTGTCTCTTAAGAAAATTTTGTCTGTCACAGACAATTCATATATGAGTTGTCTGTGACAGACAAAATTTTCTTAAGAGACAGACGAGTGTACACAAAGTGTGTACACAAAGTGTGTACCTCTAGCATTTCTCTTCAATTTGTGTGGGTAGAATATCCTGTGAAAGCAAGGGAGAGTGAATTGAATGATCGGATTGCGTTTGTATTAGAGATGTCTTGATTTGCTTCCAGAATTAGAAAGTTCACCACATTATAGCATTACTTAAAAGCAAAATTAACATCAATAATCTCTACCTTTACAAATTTCACAAAGATAATCCTAACTTGAAAGGTTCACAACAATAATCCCAACTACTTAACTGTTTTACAAAAATAAACCGAGTGCTAATGGTTTTACGTTTTCTGTTATTTTTTTTAATAAATTGAAGCGAAAATATATATAAAATTGGATAATATTATATTTCAGTTTAATATTTTTTCTACTAAAAAAAATCAACATATTTCATAAAATATAATAGAAATATTTGAACACTACACAGTACATACTCTTCAACTTCTCTATTTTCTTTTTTTACTTATCCATATTTTATTTATAATCATTTTTTATTCATTATGATAGAGATTTCATAGTATTTATAGTAATACTACATTAAATCTTTATACAAATTATTTAGAATATTAAATATTTAATAGAGATAATTGTATTACATTTTATGAAAAATATTAAATATTAGATTAAATTTATCATAGAAAAAGCTTAAACTCACATATATAATTATTAATTTTTATACATATTTTTGCTTTGATATATTAAATATTAAAAAAAACAGAAAAATTAATACCATTAGAGCTCGAATTATTTTTGTGAAACAGTTAACTAGTAGAGATAATTTTTGTGAAACTTATCAATAGGGATTATATTTGTAAAATGTGTAAAAGTTAGGATTATTGGTATCAATTTCGCCAAAAATAAAGGTGAAATTCACAAGAATAATCCCCACTGTTGAGTTTAATCTAACACAATGTAGTAAATATAGATATAAATATGTATGAACACTCGGTTTTTACGTGGAAACCGGAAAGGAAGAAAACCATGGGGCTTATCAGGCTAATGTCCAAGCCTTCTCTTTCTCATTAGACTCTCCTCACCATTACATAGTACAATTTGAGCTCCCATTAATGGAGGATAAAATCAGTGGCTGAGTCAGGATTGACAGGTTACAGAGGCCGAGGTTTAAAGAATTTATATAGCAGGGGCCAAAACTTAAATTTTCACTATATTTTTTTACTACTTATAAATATTTATACATGTATATATACATCACACTTTTTTTCTTGCAGGGGCCGTGGCCACTGCCAGCCCCCCTGTCTCCACCCTGGATAAAATTAACTAAAGAGGAGGAAGAAGAAAAGGGCTTCTTCATAAGGAGGTAAATCCTCCTATTTATAGAAGAAAAGGGATGGGGATGCTCTCCACCCTAATGGGCCGAAAGGCCGAAATGGGCCCAAAGGCCAAAACAGGCCTGATGGGCTGAAACGGGCCCAGCTGCTCGGGCTCCGTACTACGTAAGGCCTTGGCCTCCTGAACAGTAACAGACCGGGATAGTATATCCCAATACCCACTTTATTGGATTCTATAATAATAGTACACACTGACAGTGTCCGTAAAAATAATTCGTACTAGCAATAGTATAGACAAGAATAAATTTTTAATAAACTCAAACTAATGCTCATTTAGTACTTCCAACTTATACCTCTACTTTCCTCTTCGCCAAGATTAACGCTTTTATGTTTCAACTTAGACAAAACCACATATGATGAAAATGGTGTTGAAATTAAACGGGTCTTAGTTTAAATTTGCCTCAATAAGAAGAACGGGGAAGAAAAAGTAAGTGTATCTCTCAAAAGTATGAAACGGGCATTAATGTGAATTCAACCAAATTTATTCTTATGAACACCATTACTAGTTCAGATTATTTTTGTCGACACTCAAAGTGGGGATGGAATGTAGGAGACTTAAGGCATTATTTGGTTTTATGAAGAGAATATTACCCAAAATAGGACTAAAAAGGTTTGAAAATTCCAAAATAGGACTGTCATGATTTTATTCCCAAAACAGGACTAAATATTGTTATGTTTTGGCAGTACCAGACTTCAAACATGACAGTATTTTCCAAACCTGACAGTAATTACTCATATTTGGGAAATAAAAAACATAATAGTCCTATTTTGGAATGTTCAAACCATTTTAGTCTTATTTCGGAACTTTCGAAAGGTGGTGTTAGGATGGGAATCACTAAGGAACAATCTTGCAAGCCTTCGCCTTATGGATCCAAGCAATTAGAGACTTCTTGGTGTCCCTAAATCCAAAGAACCCATGCTCCTTGCTCTTGTTCATACTATCCAACGGACCACACACGCTAAAGCATACATCCACAAGCCACCATTGACCAATCTCCTCCAACTTCGTCTCCAACAGCCCGTTTTCCCTAACAATCTCGTCCCAAACACGCCCTTTCCCTTTCATCATCTCCTCCAAGCTCATCGCCGGCCCCGCATCCTCAAATTCCGGGACCTCCAGACCGAACTGCTCCGCGATCACCCCCCACAGCTGCTTCCACCTGAACACATCTCCATTGCTCACATTGAAAGCTTCGTTCTTGGCGGCTGGCTCCACCGCGGCCCAAATCTCCTGCTCCGCGATCAGATCCGCATCTGAGCCGTTGGTGTACCCTTCCCAGCACGCCTTCACCCCCGGGAATATGAATCTCAGCCCCTCGCGCTTACATATTGCCGCATATGCACAGAGCGAGCCCACCGTGTTCATCATGCTGCTCGGGGAGAACCCGAATATCAAACCGGGTCGGTGCACGGACCACGTGAGACCCGGTTTCTTCTTCACCTCTTCCCAGAGGATGTCCTCGAGGGTGTAGTAGAAGTTCGGTACGCCCAGCCGCGGGAGATCCTCGTGGAAGGGCATTTCATGGGCCGCTTTTCCAAACGACTCAAACGGGCCAAAGTAATGCTTCAGGCCCGTTTGTAAGCAGATGTGAGTCAGGCCCGGGCAGCTGGGGATGACCGCATTCAAGACGTTGCTGAACATCTTCCCGTTTGCCTCGCAGTTTTCCAGTTCCGTGGGCCGGCTGGCCCACGTAACATAGAAGACGTGCGTGACGTCGGTCAGTACGGTCAGCTTGGATTGGGCAGCTTCTGGGTCAGTTATATCGCACTGGACGAACTCGATTGGGGGGTGGTGGTCGGTGGTGTTCCAGGACCGGATAGGACGGCGAGCAACGCCGTATACCTTCCAAGGGCCGCCGGGTGTGTCGGAGCGAGGGAGGGTTTCGGCGAGGCTTGCTCCAACAATGCCGGTGACGCCGATGATTAGAGCCACGTTCTGGTGCTTGGGTGGTGCACGTACGCCTGCATCATCTTCTCTGCACATTTCGTATTTATTCATTATTATTATATATACTCCGTAGTCCGTAGTCCGTATATCCGAATGATTTATGATAAAGAAATAAGTGTCTTGGGACTTCACTCAGACTTATTTATAAGACGATGGGTTGGCAAAGGAGTAAACTCCATTTAATTCCCTGATCGAGTTTATAGGTTCAAAACAAACGGCTACCACCACAGAATTTGCAGCGTACTGTGGTAGCGTGGATAACAAGTGATGGCTAGTGGGCAAGTGGTTACCCGTCTTTGTATCCATCTCTCCTAATGTTCTTTCAACTTCTTGTCATTATTCAAATGAAATCATATAACTGATTTTGTCTATTAATGGTGATGGAAGACAAAGCAATCTTCGCTTTATTTTTTGGGAGAAGTCCTCCACCTAGCGGTCAGAAAACTGGCGCCTCTGCCGGAGAACTAGAACTGTGCCACTACGCAGCGGCAGACGCAGGAATTTCCGGTTGTAGGGGCGGCAGTACAAAAATATACATACAAATACATATACATTTAAAATTTCAGGGTAAATATACTTAGATTTTTTTTGGGAGGGACAGCGGTTCCCCTTTGTCACCCCCTGTGTCCGCTGTGAATGTTTTGGGAAAAGGTACTCCAATAGGAGTCCTGACATGTATATTTATTTTAAAAGAGTTTAATACTTCCTCCGTTCTTTTTTAATTGTAACAGTCAACATTTCACGTTTGCTAATGCACAAGTTTGACCATCAATATCTTTCATTTTTATTTAATAAAAAATTTAAAAAATTTATATATTGAAAATTTAGAATGAGAAGAATTTAATAATATTTTTTGAAAATTTATTTTATAATACACCAATAAATAAAATGTAGTCAAAGTAGAATATGTGAATAGTGCAAAAAGTCCAATGTTGCAATTAAAAGAGAACAGAGGTAGTACATAATAGGAAACAAATATGCCTAAGAATATTCTATTACACCGCCTCAAATTGTGCGGGAGATACAACGCGCAGCCGCTCAGGTTGTGTTTCAGAAAATAAAATTGCTGACTAGAAAGACTTTTGGTAAAAATGTCAGCTAAATGTAACTGTGTGAGGATGTATTTCACAACTAAGTCTCCATGAGCCACACGTTCTCGCACAAAGTGGTAGTCTATCTGAATGTGCTTGTTATGAGCATGTTGAACCGGATTAGCAGTCAAATATGAAGCAGAGATGTTATCACAACATAATTGAACTGGTGCAGTAACAGGATAGCCAAGCTCATATAATATAGAACGAATATGCAGAGTATCCTGAACAGTGTAAGCAACGGCTCTATACTCAGCTTTTGTAGAGGACTTGGAGACAGTAGGCTGCTTTTTGGACTTCCACGAGACAAGATTCGGGCCCAAGAAAACTGGAAAGCCAGTCGTGGACCGAGATGTATCCGGACAACCTGCCCAATCAGCGTCGGAGTAAGCAATGACACAGGTTGCCCGAGATGTAGGCTGCAGCCACAAACCATGATCAAGAGTCCTCTGCAAGTACCTAAAAACTCTCTTGACTACAAAAAGATGAGTATTATGGGGAGCATGCATAAACTGAGACATTAAATCCACAGCATAGGTAATATCAGGTCGTGTCAAAGTTAAATATTGTAATGCACCAACCATACTACGATACTCAGTGGCATCTGCAAGAAGTTCTCCATCAGTGAGAGATAAAGAAGTGCGAGTAGCTAGCGGAGTACGAAGAGACTTTAGGGTATGGAGATGAAAGCGAGAGAGAAGATCAGACACATATCTATGTTGAGAGAGAAACAACCCTTTAGCGGAGCGGACAGCCTGGACTCCTAGAAAATAACTAAGATCACTTAGATCTTTCATAGCAAAATGCGTAGCAACGAGCTGAATAAAGGTGGTAATAGCAGCGAAAAGAATTGCCAGTAATAATTATGTCATCAACATATAGTAATAAATAAATGACATTATTATTCTGGCGATAAATGAATAATAAATTATCAGACTTGCTGCATGTAAAATGATGAGATAGAAGAAAACTACTAAACCTGTGAAACCAAGCTCGCGGGCTAGCTTAAGACCATAAATGGCTTTTCGCAAACAACATAAATGATTAGGAAACAAAGGATGAATAAAACCCTGCGGCTGACGCAAGTAACCTACTCAGTAAGATGACCATGTAAAAATGCATTCTTAACATCCAATTGATGAGCATTCTTAAAAATTTGGTCCTATTTATGGAAGGAGAGTATAGGGGTGTTTAGAATTGATTCTGCTGAAAACCAAACAAGATTCTTTTTTAAAGCTGAAACAGAATCAAAATTAGTTTTCAGAAGGTGTTCACCCCATCTTCTAAAAAATTGCTTGTATGAGCAATTTGAAGATCCAGTTTTAAGAAGTAGACCCAAATATATATCTCATACTACCTCCGTCCTGTTGAAAGGTTCTCATAGTAAAACAGCACGGTTATTTAAACGGTAATTAAATAAAGTACTTCGGGTATATTTTGAAAAATAATTTTAATGTGTATAATGATTAATAGGTATAATGACACATTAATCATTAAATATTAATAGGTATATGCTAGAGTGATTCAAATGAAGAAAGAAAATGTGAAAAATAATATGTATTAAAAAAATGTAAAACAAAAGATATAAAAATTTAAAGAGTGTGATTTTTAAGGTTAAGCGAGGTCATACCCTAAACTCCTAGAGGCTAGAGTAATTCAGTTGAAGAAAATTGCAATAATAAAACGCCGCATTTGAGGAATAATATCATATATTGACATGGTAAAGTCTAAACAAGCTAGCAATAATAATGGATGGAGTCACGAGACTCACGACTGACGACGAAAATGCATTGAGGAAGCAAAATTAAGACTAATCCATGGAATCGAACCCGCCACATTTCACAACGCTCAAATCACCTCTGAAGGCGGAATTACCATCTGAACCGTTCTAATCATTGTGCAAATTAGTCACAGGGGCTTTAATATATCGTATTTCATAACCGGGGCTACATATATATATACACTACCACCGCCGGAGAACGGGGGGTCCCCCTAGTTCCGCCACTGATTAAGGTGGGGATTACATTCTGCTAGGAAGTAAAAAAAAAAGAACGAGAAGCGCCATACACCTCTCAGGGTGTTTTGAAACTGATTCTGCTTTTGTTTCTTTTTAAACTACGTAGAATTAGAAATTCAGAATCAGAATCAGTTTTCAGAAGCTGATCTCCCACAACTTCTAAAAGAACTGATTGTAGGAGTAAATTAGAGCACCAGAATCATTTATACACATTTACACAAACACTCTAACTTCTGTTTTTGCTCTTAGAAGGAGCAGAAGCAGTTTTAAGAATTAGATCCAAGCACCCCACAGTCATCCAATTGCTTTTGTTTGGTTAATTGGTTTTACCCGTGGGAAGTGACCTAGGATGGGTCAGTTGAAGGATGTACTTGGATTTCTTTTTTTTAATCATCAAAACAAGCCTCTATTCATATCAAAAGATTCAGGATCATTACATCAAACAAATGAAAAATAAAACTGAAACCAACTGAGCTCCAACAACTACGACTGTAAACCATATTATCAGACTTTGTGACGGTCACCCTTGAAAGAGAAACACGAATCACTAACCATGTAGTGGGTTTGACACAACCAAACTTGTTCCCATAGATCCAACCATACCCAATGACATAAAGAGAGGCTAAAAACTCAAACTGTCAAAATCAACAACAAAGATGAACACAAGAAAACAAATGACAAACAGAGAAAAATTACTGGGAAAACGTTCACAGATTCTAGCGCCTCATACAACCCCATGGTGGTGGTTCAGGCGGAGGTCGGACCGTCGCTCGAATGATACCCTCTCTCAGTAGTGTACCCGCCGTATGACCCAAATCCATGTCATCGAATGGAGCGTTCAACCTCTCCACGCTAACCATGTCTCGATCATCCCTACGCCTCTCTCCCGCTTCTTCCACCATCTTCTCGCTCGCTACCACGATCATCCATCCCGAGCTACGCACTACAAGCAAAGTAACATTTCTTGACACACAAAAAGTGTCAGGAAAAATAGATAAAGTGTCAAGATAGACACCTCAAGGGAATTGCCAACACACTTGAAAAGTGTCAAGAGGAAAGGTGTTAGGAAAAGTCAATGCTAACACTCATATACAAGTGTTGGTAAATCTCTTTACGTCTTTAGTGACACATAATTGATCCAAACCTTACCCAATTTTTGTGTGTCAAGGAAGCTTTAAGGTGACAGTAAAGTGTCAAGAAAACCCACATTGAATAATCTTCCTGGATAATACGCTAATTATAATAATTCCTATTGTTGTACCTTTTCGTAATATCAATGTAGGATATTATAAACTATTTCCATATTAAAACTTTCAAATTCAAATAAGTATGTAGTATCTCATTCAAATTTATTTAAAAACAAATAAGAACCAAGTACATAAGAACTAGTTCATAGTTTAATTTGAAGCATACAAATTGAAATAATTTGTTCAATCAAAACAAATTAATACTAAATCTAACTCTAACTAATTCCTTCGGGTTGATAGCTTCCGGTTGATGACCTATTGCGTGTTGGAGAATGTTCACCACCGACCTGAAAATATCACCACAAAAATAACATAAGACTGTTGACTACATCATGTAAGGTAAGGAGTTAGAATACACACCACTCTTCATTTTCTCAATCAGATTGTTTGAACACACATCACCCAACAAAGGTGATGTAAAGTAGCTTTCTATGTTATTCCCAACAATTACAAGAGCTACCTGGCTTATATGGGCAAATGAAAGTAATTCCACAATACTTAATTAGGCTCTTCTTTCAAAAAAACATAAACATAAAGAGGCAAGAACACAATCGAAGTCTTAGATGTGGTAGACTCAACTCATCAACCCACCTTACACCCCTGCTCTAAAAGAAAACTTGAAATTAGCCTTCCATTTTTTAAATTTATGGTTTGATGGGTTTGATATGTAACACGCATGATTAATTCCATCAGCAAACTCTTACCAGTTACTACTCTGGCACACTTCCTGGGAAAATAGATATCATTTTGAGAATATTCCATCACACAGAACAGATTCGAATCTTAAAACAAGAATGATCCAACTTCCAACTTACTTCTTAAATGAAAATATAGTTCAACCAACACACTACAAAACCATGACGGAGTTCTATATTTACATACTCCAATAAATAAAAATAGATATATGGACACACTGGATTTCCATATAGTACAACTGTACAGCTGATCAAGACTTCAAGAGAATAACAATCCATTCAGCCACGTGTAATCAACTTGTAAAATGACACAAAACCACGGATCCCGAAAAAAGACTAAAAGATGTATTTTTGACATATTGATGCCTACTAAGTTCAGACAATTTTTTTACTTCTTATAACATAAGTTGACTCACTTCACTGAAGCAGAAAAATCATGCGATCAATCAGTCAAAATACAAAAGATAAAGAAACTGCAAGATCAGAGCACTGATTAGGTGATTCGGGAAGAAAAAGCAACAAAAACAAAACAACATAATCAGAACAGCTTGAAGTGAAATTTAGTAATCAACAAGAATACAGTGTGATCTTAAAAAAATGGTTTGATTATTATAAAATCAAATTATTCACATAATTAATGTACATAGATATACACCTAACACAATCAATAAGACTACCAAATCATTACTAACATTTAACTTTGACATTATGAAACTCATACGTTCACATGAGATAAGGCTTTATATCATATGTTCATATGATATATCTCACTATCTTTACATCATTAATTTCCATATATGCATGTAAACTAGCAATAATTTAGAGCCAAGCACATTTACCTCATTATTCAAATCATTGAGGATTGCACATAATTGTTCATGAGGCAGATTCTTTTTGAAAGCACCTAATAGCATATCAAACTTTCTTGAAAGTGTAGAAACTTGAGCTTGAAGAATAGGAACTTGTGGGTCTTGTATGGGCACTTGTGGTTGTTGAGAGGATGAAGCACATTTATCCTTCATGACTGTAAATCCTACGCAACGAATGCGCCCTCTTTTTTCTGGACCTTTCACTTTGGCTAAATCATCATTTCTGTAATCAACCGGGCCTTCAGAATCTTGAATATCATTTTCCTCATTCATCACATTGTGAAGAGCTTCCTAAATAAAGAGAATAACATTACAAGTTTAGTTCAGTTCTTAAACATGACATTAATCTCATTAAAAGTCTACTAATATGTAAGCATGGATTAATATAATAGTAAAGAACGGCCTGATCAGAAAAGTTTGGTTTCTCCAGTCATGCAGAACCCAACTTACTTTTTTTATACGAATAAAACACACTTCATATCAAATAGGTGAGTATGTAATAGATAAAAGTTAAAGAAACAACATCAGACCATGCAACAGACTACCTAGACCAGATCAACTACAAAATACTACACCTGCTTCACTAAATTTGAGACACGCGAAAGTACTACAATTATTAAGAAAACTGGTTAGACATGCGGAAAAAAATCAACGTTTGAAATCAACTACTTCACAAACTTTTGATCTGATGAGAGCCCACACATTCAATTTTTAGATGAGGTTTAAAGTCAAATCCATGTTAATAGACATAATTGTGGAGAGCAAGTGTAATACTCCATATAAGCATGTCTCATAATACTGATTTGCAAACTGCTAAACAGGATAAAAAAAATTGCAAGCTCAAAACATAGTACCACAACTGCAGTTGCTGCAGAATTGATAATAGTGCCATTTTTTCGAGTTCGAGTTCTAATGAATAACTTCCCACGTGTTGGTAGAACGCCGTTATTCTTTGTAGCCTGTGGAAATAAATATAACATATAGTTATTTTTATTTTGTTACCAAATGTAGTTCATGTACTGTGGGAAATACAAATGATGAAACCCCATTAAATTATTGCAATCACCTCTTCTTCCGCAAGTCTAGCAAAAGATTTTGACCCAGTGATGTGTGGCTCTTTATTCTTCGACCGACTCCTTTTTTTTACTTCACACATTGCCTAATATTATCAAGTCAGAAAGAAATGAACGAAACAATTATCAAAAGAGTCAGTGAAAATAATTTATCAACTTTGTATTCCTCTAATGATGAAAAACTATCTTATTAGCTAGCATCAAATAACCTGGAACTCTGGATCAACCCAAGTCTTAACAAGCTCTCTAAACTGAGACTTGTTAACCCTCTTATCAGTCTCATTTGTTACCATTTCATCAACAGTTAGGGCTGGATCATAATTCCGTTCTTTCAAAGTGTTTTTCCACGACTTCCACTTCGATCCCATATTTGCAATTATCCATTTCTTAACGTCTCTAGTTTCAGCCGGTAGGAATTTGAATTTCTCCTGCATAATTTTTTTTGACAGGTAGCTAAGAATCCTTTGAAAGTGTGATTGTCAGTGATAAATAAGTGGAATTTGGATACAAGAATTTGTATCAAAATGAAAGATGAACTAACATAATCAGCAAAGTCGTAGCATGATTTTGGTGGACATACTAATGCATTTGTAATCAAGTTTCTTTTTAATTTATTTTTTCAGTTTATATATATCTAATCATATTTTCTTTTACCCATCATCACAAACCTACAACTCTTTAAAACAATGAATCAATTATAAAATCAGAATCCACATTTTTTATAAAGCATGTTCAATAACTTAATAAAAAAGTTCAGAATCAAATAAAGTGATTCTTATTGACAGGAGTAAAAATCGAGCAACTAAATAGTATCTAAAAGTCCATAATAGTCTGTTCTCTGAAGGACTAAATAGTTAAATAGTCCATGATAGAATTATCTTTAAAGCAACAATTGCACATGTAGTCGGCTCTTAACAAAATATATGATTAAAAAACAAATAAATAGTTATTACACATGAAATGGACATTGTAGGATCACATTCTTGCAAATAATAAATTGGGAAGATGGCTTATTTTAATATCCAGAATATGTTATAATTACCTTCACAATGCTCCATAAAGTTTCCTTTGTTGTATAAGAGACATCTCTCCATTCATCAAAGTTTATTCCAACATGACTTGACATTTTCACAAGAGTGCCGAGGAACTGAGTTAGTTCGTTTCCTTCTTCTCCTATAGGCTGTGCCATGTCATTAAATTTAACAGCTATTCTTGAGTCTCCTTTTAGCTCCCAAATTCCAAGTTTTTGTGTTGGTCCTCGAACCTTCTTAGCAACACCTTTAAAATAAGATAGAAATGCTAAAGTGTATGCTTATAAAATAAGTAGCACTATTAGTGTTGAAAAGTCTAAAAATTATTAAAGACCTGATGCTTGAGAACTGTGTGCATTGGCTGAAACAGAAGGTTCAGAAGATTCTCCCTCATTTGTTGAAGCATTTCCAGAATCGAATTGCTTCCCAAAGCTTTGGTTCTGTCTTTGATTTTCACTTGACTCCAACTCTTCATCTCTAATAGATTGTTGCACAATTGGGGTTTTATTGATTGAGACGATGTTCAACCTCTTACGTTTTGCCATCCCTAGTCAAAGCAGTACAATAAAAGTTGGTATTGCAACATTTAAGTGAACATTTTGTACTATTTACATATTCAATAACATACACATGCAAACAGAAAACAACTGGTTAAACAAAATGCTACAATAATGTTACTGAAGCATAAAGTATTTATACATAATAAAGGAAAAACTAGTAAAAGAAGTTTCAGTAGTAAACATTTGGTGATAGACTCCAAATATAAAACATAACATGAGTCTTTCAGTGATAACAATTTGAGTATTTAAGTAGCAGTTTTGTTAGTTTATTCGTCTTCTTCATTACTAGCTTCCTCTTCCATTGGTAGAGTGACATCAAGTTCATCATCTTCATCGTCTCCAACTCTATGCAAGTTTGGAACGTCAAATATAACATCATTTGATGTATTTCTTTGATCTGCATTATCTCCCAGTTCAAACATGTCCCTCACTTTGACATGTCTCACAACCAACCAATCTTTTGACTTGGAATCTTTAGCGTAGAAGACTTTGTGAACTTGGGAAGCTAGAACAAATGGATCATCAAGCAAATTCTCTCCCGTGTGTGTCAAATATGAAAAGTTAACTAGTGTTGCTCCCATATCATCTTTCTTCACACCTCTATTCACATCAACCCAGTCACACTTGAATAAAACAACTCGCAGTTTACCAGAATAGTTCAACTCAATGATGTCATTGAGTGATCCATAATAATTTATCACTCCAAAAATTGGTCTTTTATCACGGGGACTTGCAAAACATTCACCCTTTACTGTCACAACCACGCCACTGTTTTGCGTTTTCAAGAATCTCTCATGTTCCTTTGTGTGAAAGCGATACCCCTTAACAAAATATCCTGAATACTTCTTCACTGAAGTGTGAGGACCAAGGGCAAGCCATTTTATTTCCTCACTTACTCTTGCATCTCCTTCTTCTACTAAACGTGATACCTGTATAAATGTAGATATGTTATGAGTTAGAATATGCTTTAATATAATTTGCAAACACAGTTTTTCTAATCACAAATTACCCGTTTTTGGAACCATTCACTAAATTGCTGGCAATGAAGTTTCTCAAGTTCATATTCAGATGGCCTTCGTGAACGATGTCTACTCTTGACAATTGACTTATGTTTCCTTCAAATGAAAAAGTATTATAAATAAATCAGAAGAGAAGGCACCCCGCAAGAAAGAATGAACCAAATGAATAGAAAAATAAATATTAAAGTCCATTAGGAGAAATGTTAAACTCACTCTCTAAATGGTATGATTGACTCAACATTAAACAACACATAGCGATGCCCTTGTATCATTAACTTCTCATCAAGAACCTGATGGTTAACTCTTTTTCGCTTCTGAAAGGACACATTAGATTGATTTCTTTGTTGTAATGGACGCCCAGGACAAAGTAAATTTATTTCTTCAATTTCATTTTGTTCACCCTCATCATAATTTCTTATGGGCCGAGTAAAAACTGTCTCAACTCCAGAGAGATAACGGGAGACAAAAGTTAAGCTTTCCATAGCTAAATATCCTTCAGCAATCGAGCCCTCTGGACAAGCCCTATTATGCACGTAGGACTTCAGAGTTAGAAGTTCCCTGGAAAAAAAATTACAAATCAAGAGCTGTGAGTTTCAAAACACATATAGTTGTACATAAGAAAAATGAAATTAGTTTTAAAATAAGATACCTTTCAATGGAATACATCCACCTAAAAGTTAGCGGTCCTCCAAGCCTTATTTCTTCAATTAGATGGATCACCAAGTGCACCATTATAGTAAAGAAAGAAGGGGGGAAAATTTTCTCTAGTTTGCACAAAGTTGTTGTAACCCTCATTTCAAGAAACTGAAGATCCGGTTCAGACAAGTCTTTACAACAAATTCCCTTAAAAAAATCACATAACTCAATGATAACCAAGGCCACGTTATCTGGCAATGTCCCTCTTAATGCAATTGGCATATATTCTTGCATCAGCATGTGACAATCATAAGTTTTCAGCCCTATAAGTTTTTTTTCTTTCAATTGCACACAACGAGATATGTTGGAAGAAAATTCATCTGGAGGTTTGATAAGCTTGAGGGTTTTCAAGAAAGCATCCTTCTCGGGTCGAGTCATTTGATAACATGCTCGAGGCAAGTATGTAGTATTGGTCACCAGACGCTTTCTCGGATGCAGTTGTTTTTTTATACCCATATTTTGCAGGTCCAGCCTTGCTTTATAATTATCTTTTGACTTTCTGCCTTGTCCCAACAAAGTCCCAAATATATTCTCGCACACATTTTTTTCTATATGCATGACATCGAGATTATGACGTAACAACAAATGTTTCCAATATGGCAACATAAAAAAAATGCTTTTCTTTTTCCATGGACCATGATCAGTATTATCACTTAGGAATTCAAGACAGTCTACTTGTTGCAAAGCAGAATGTCCCGATACAGAAGTAGGAGCAACTCGTAGCTCTTGCTTTCCATCAAAACATTGGGCCTCATATCGCCACCTATGATTAGATGGAAGCCATCTCCTGTGACACATATAGCAAAATTTTCCGCCATATTTAAGCCATTTTGAAGCGGTATCAAAGCCACATAAAGGACAAGCAAACTCTCCTTTAGTGCTCCATCCAGAGAGATTTGCATATCCAGGAAAGTCAGAAATCGTATAAAGTAAAGCTGCTTTCATTTGAAAATTATCTTTGCAACTCGCATCAAAAGTCTCAACTCCAACCTCCCACAACTCTTTCAATTCTTTTAAGAGAGGTTGCATATAGACATCTATCTTATTGCCTGGACCATTGGGTCCAGGGACAATTAACGATAGAATGAAGTTGGGTTGTTTCATAACCAACCATGGAGGTAAATTACATGGAATTAAAATAACGGGCCAAATACTATAACTGAGATTCATTGTCTTGAAAGGGTTAAAACCATCACTTGAAAGGGCTAAACGAATGTTTCTTGGGTCACTAGAAAACTCGGGGAACTTTTTGTCGAAGTCCTTCCATGCTGCACCATCAGCTGGATGTCGCAGCTTTCCATCATATGTGCGCTCTCTATGATGCCATTTCGTAAGGTCAGATGTTTTTGAGGACATAAATAATCTTTGGAGCCTTGGTTTCAAAGGAAACCACCGCAAAATCTTAGCTGCTTTTTTACTTTGGGTGTTTACCATGTCACTTATGTCACTTATATTATCTGTAGAAACTTTCCATCTTGATTCTCCACAAATCGAGCACACTTCTTCTTTATCCTTATCACCCCAAAACAACATACAATCATTTGGGCATGCATGGATCTTTTCATATCCTAAACCTAGATCTCCAAGCAATTTTTTCACTTGATAAGTCGTTTTTGGCAGCAAGTTATGTTCTGGGAGTAAATCTTTTAAAAACTCCAGCAGCATTGAGAAAGACTTGTTGCTCCAACCATTCAGACACTTCAAATGAAACAAATGCACTAAACAGGAAAGTTTGCTATACTTTGAGTTTGGATACACTGCTTTTTCAGAATCCTTTAATAGGTCATTGAACTTGTCTCTTCTAGACTTAAAGTTTGGAGGATCACTAGAATCACCCAACCCGGTGCTCCATTCGTGCTCCTCCATGTTAGAAGCATTTTCTTCTACATGGACAGGTTGAAACAAGTCATTCAATAATTCTCTCATGTCATGCCCAATCATCCCTTCTTCATCAGTTGGCATTGAACATGAAGATGATGATATTCTGTGTTCTCCATGATCTACCCATTCAGTGTATTCGTTTCGAAATCCATTACATATTAAGTGATCAAATAGTTCCCCCCGTGTGTGATAGAACATATTATAACACCTTTTACATGGGCATAAAACTTTTCCATCATGACTTGATCTCTCAAAAGCAAATTTTATAAAGCTCTCTACTCCATTTACAAACTGTTCGCTAGACCTCGGAGTAAAATACATCCAAGACCTATCAGTCATGATTCTGCTAATAGGCTGAAACTAAAAGGGGATGAACCATAAATTATACATTGATGAAATTTGATTAAAAGAAATAAGTAAATATAATAATATATATGTGTGTGTAAGTAGAATTCCTAATGACATATCACAAAGCACAAATATATAATAGATTGTGTATCTTTTTATTCACTATATCGATTGACAGCATTTTCTTAACCTCAATAAGAGGAGAATAAGAGGAGAAGAGGATGATTTTATGTAATATAAAGTTCAGAGGACTGCAACTTTCACTAATAAGATGGCATTTAACATAAAACAAGTAAAGCAATATGGAAATCAATTGTTTCTATATGGTTCGTTCCTGCTAAATATTTCATGTACTATTTATAGTACATTTAAAAAAGTTATCATTGTATTAAAACAATCTATCCTAATTAGATATCCATTTGAATCCAGAGAAGGGTGATCACCTACCTAGAATTCTGGAGGGACTAGATAGACAAAATATGCCAATTCATATATATATATATATATATATATATATATATATATATATATATATGAAATTATTAAGAATAAGATAAAAATCTATAAAAAAAATCATAAGAATGGAAATCTATAGAAAACATCATTCTGGCAACAAATTTTAAGAGCCATAAATACTCTAATGGAAGTTGGATCGACTTAGAGGTTCGAATTAAGAAATTAAATGAGGTCACTAAAACAGCAAATTAAGTAATCATTTAAAAGTAGAGACAATACCTCTTTAGCTAGCGATACTAACAAACTGAAATACGATGGCAACTGGAAACTCGATTGAGGAGCGAATTCAGTGGATGATCCGTCATGGCGCAAATCTGCAGACGAGGAAGATCGAGAACCGCAGATTAGCTAATAGGCAAAAAGGAATACAAAGTGATATTGATAACGAGCTGCGATTACCAAATTATCAAATCCGCAGGTCGGCGAGTTTCTCTGAGGGAATGAAGCTGCGATTCTTTTTCAGAAGTGCTAATGGAATAGCTTAGGTCAAACCTTATTTGGTATAAGTGTATAACACGCCACTATCTTCTACTTTTTTTAATTTGAAAGTTTTTTATTGTTTGATAATTTGTGACCATTTATTTGATAAAGTGTATGTCAGCATAAATACTTTAATTTATGTAACCGTCAATTTAAAAAAGAATGTCAGCAAAGGTCTAGTCTAGCTTAATAAATACGGAGTGGAATACTTTGTTTATGTTCGGATAATATTATTTACACATCAACAAAAATTAAATAGTTATCTTGTCACATATATGTGTCAATATATATTAGTTATTATGACACTTTTACATGTGTCAACAAAAGTGTGTGTCAAGAAATGTAACATTTCTTGTAGTGACGTCAAAACCAAGGCAATCCGGCACAGAGCTGCGCCGATTGAAAGAAACGCCGCACCAGGGCAGCAAAGGACAAACCCTACGCGAGAGATCTCGCTAGGGGAAAAAGGTGCTAGGTCGTTTCTGCTCGCAACTATTTCCAGGCCTGGCCTCTTACATGAAACAAGCATTAAAATGAAAGCATCATGTACTTGGATTTCTTAGATTCGCACTACCAAAAAAACTCGTTATAGATACGGATTTTGGCTCGGAAAATAACCCAGACAAATTTGGCGCGGAAATAGGGACGGAAAGCAGAAAAAGTCGATTTGTTACTACAATGGCACGGCATTATCCGTGCCAACACGTTTGGCTCGGACATTTCGACCCTACATCCGTGCCAAGACCGAAAACCTGTGACGTAGTTGGCTTGTGTTGATATCCGTGCCAACCGCCGCGACAATATGGCAGGGAAACCGATCCGTCCCAACGATTTTTTTTTATTTTTAGAATTTGGCCCGGTATATATCCGTGCCTAATTTTTCCGTGCCAAACTCCGAGACAACCCCGTATCTTATTTGACTGTTCCACTGTCCGTCCCTATTTCCGTGCCTAATTCTAGCCGTTACGTTGGGTGGCAAATACCCGACCCAAATGTAGTGCCAAAATGTAACCGTTAGTTTGACTGGGATCTGGCCGTCCCAAAACCGTCGCAAAGACCGGATTTCAAATAAAGTTTATTTCGTGCCAAAATCCGAGACAATGAGGACCGTTGAACACATTTTGGTAGGGGCATTTCCGTCCCAATTTCTGTGCCTACTAAATCTACAAATATACCAAGTTGGGATGTGAAGCAAACTACATCTCAGAAAATGATGTTTTCGATCTTTGTGTATGATGAATTCTGGATAGAAGTTGGAAGTTATATTACTTGATATCTGGAGGTTTTCTATATGGATTTCTTACTTTATATTACTTGGTATCATCGTTGTACTTAAGGTATGTAAATTACGACCATTGTGCTTTTAAATTAATTTGATCATATCCATATTATGAGTTGTTATCAGTATTATTTAATTTGTCTTAATTATTTTGATTGAATTCAAGTGTTAGCTTTAAAACGTGAGACATTGTCTTATCAATTTAATAAATTAATTTCGTTAAGATATACTGTCAAAAAAAGTTAATTAAGATATTTTTTAATATTCAGGCACAATGTATAGACAATCTAGAAGTTGGATGTATGACCGCTACAAGGAAAATGGTAGAGGATTGAAAAAAGTGTTTGAAAATGGAGTTAACGAATTTATTAGATTCGCACAAGAGCAAACACGCTATGCTGATGGAAGTAAAATAAGATGTCCTTGTACAGAGTGTAAAAATAACAAATTTGTTGAAGGTGATGAGGTTTGTTGGCATTTATATACGCATGGT